ATTAGGACGAAACGGCCGTCCAGTGCTTCTAGGTTTTCCATGGTGGTCTAGCTTCAATTAATTCATGCTCTCAACCATTGAAATTACTAAAATCTCCACAAAATCCCTCCTGATATTAAATGTTTCGCCTATAGATTGACTTAATAGCTATTTAGAAATAAAAAAAACAATAGGTTGTAAGAGGTAAGAAATAACAATAAATGACCCTTGACATTCTAGCATTATTTATGGATCATGTTAAAAGGGACCACAAAATTACAAACAATAGTATGATAAGATCACTACAAAACAAACTAAAACTCATGTAAATTCTTTTACTTTTGTTGTTGTAGCTTTACTATAACCAAGATGTAAAATACTTTGAATGTGTTAACATATCATAAATTGAAAAAAGAATATATATATATACATCTTAATCTACAGGGTTTTGTTTCAAGAAACTGAAACTTGAATCTCTTGTTTTAGTGAAACCAAAAAAAAATGTTTTACGAAAATACAGCACCATGAACAAAATATTAATCTTAAAGGATTGTTAATCGTGATAAATTTTCTTTTCTTCATATTTTGTTTACAATAATATGTATGTATGTGTATAAATGTAAATGGGAAATATGGACAATGTTGTCAGCTGTTTATTCATGTAACATGTATCATCACAATGTATATATACATATATATAACTTGTTTAAAACAAATATATACACATGTTACTGTTTTCAATATGCATTTTTGCTTCATTAGTAATTATTCCCTACATGAGAATAATCAAACATTAGACAGAATACGTTATTTTACTATTGTAATAAAGATACTAGAGTACATGTTTTAGTAATAAATGTACTAATGAGTTGAATAAAATGATGTTTTTAACGAAGAAGAATTCAATAAAGCGATTGATAGGTAACTATAAGTTAATAAGAAAGAAAGACAGAAAGAATTTGTGTTCGTTATGAATTTAAGCTTTAATTACTAACTACATAACAGTAATGAATTACTTGTGTATTTGTGTATGTGTGTGTGAATTGAATTTGCAATTAGTATTTTCAGAATTTTATTCATTTTATTTTGTTCTGTTTTCTTTTCTTTGGTTTTTGAAATTGATATCAAAAACAGAAGTGTAAATAGTACGTTGAAGTGTTTGTATCTAAGACACAATGATAAATTTACATACTGTAATCTTGTTATAGTGTATTTATATAACAATTTCTGTTGATGGAATGTCAATCAAGAGTTTAATTTTCAACAGCAACAACAACAAGAAAAAAACATTTTTATACACTTACATGTATATGAAAAGTTATACAAAATGTATAGATAAATATATGTTTATATCAGTTGGCAAAACACATAGAAATAGTGGGATATAAACTAATTTCAGGGGTAATCATTAAGTAAAAACATTACTGTACATATTTGTAACTTATTTTAATTAATGAATCATTATTCGAAATAGATCAATGGTAAATATACAATTTTAAAGCTAATTCTTATCATGAAACTGATTCAAGTTACTATTAAGGATTGAAAGTATGTACTGCTGAAGTATCGTAAACAATATTCCTGATTGTTTTGAAACTTATCTTGGGATTATAAAAAGGATCTTGTTCACTTAATACAATCTTGAAACCTGGTTATATTAACCAACTAATAAAATAATTTCAACTTACAAAATCCTCTTCAACTTACACATTTGTTTTCATGGAATGAATTATTGTTAAGTAGTAATACACTTCTGTAAATTAATTTTATTTCTAAAAGTAACAAGTATTGCTAACAGTGTCATATCATTAAAAGAGATAGATTAACATTTATCTCGTTAGTTATCTTCTTCAATTATATTTTTACAAGAGTTCCTACTGGGAAGTTAATTTATTAATTCCTGTAATTGTTTGATATTATAACCATATATATAGGTGTAGATATGCTTACATAAACACATGCTTACACTAGTGAACAAAAACCTACAGTAAAACACGTTTCTCATGTTTCTTATAAATGAACTATATGATATATATATACATAGACACGTATATGTGTGGAATTAGACATATCTATGTATTATACTTCATTCATTTCCTGTAGTTCGTGCTTTTGTATCTACTGAATTTAGATTAAGTATTCCTCATTATTTTATTTATTGTTTCTTTTCACCGTGCTATAGTTGTAATATTTGTACGTTTTTCAAAATATATTCTCAAAGCTATAAATTGCAACGCCTAAATGCATTTTTATCATATTCATTACATTCATGTTTTCTTTATAATTCTTTGATTAGGTTATGTGGCTGCATCAGAATGAATTATACTACTTTTGTTTTCACTAACCAATACATTTTAGTGATGTTTACTAACCTTGGATGATGATTCACTAACTACTGAGTCTGAAAGTTACGATCCTACTTGGTTGCATCATTTGTTAAGGTTAGGCATCTTTGACAATTCTGATGTATAGCTAGGTCATGATATATATATATATATATATATATATATATATATATATATGGACTGAGATGAGCATTACTATACTCTGTTATGAAAGTTATTTACAGGATAAAATTATTTGATTTCAACAGAAATTACTGTATTCCCTTTCTGAATTCAAAAAATGATTACATTGAGACATGGTTTTTCAGCTGTTTTTCCTCCCATTTATTACTAATTATCTATTACATGTCTAAATTAAAAATAATATATGAATATTTAAGAAAAAAGTAATTCAAATCAAATTAACAACAGATCTTGATAGTGTTAATGATCCAGAGGCCTAAATAGACTTTTAAGATCACATAATACTGATAAGCTTAGATCGCAATGAATCAGATTCAATCATAGCAAATAAGTAAATAGTGTAATATACCATGTTCTATTATATTAACAGTTTTAAACCATTGAAAAATAATGATGACTTAAAATTGAATCGAATTAGAAAGGAAGGCAGAATGGATTGGAGAATGCTGTTCTGTAGCCGATACTCCATGGGAAGTAACAGGCGTAAGTAAGTAAGTAAGTAAGTAAAATGGACCATTTTGCATACTTTTTATCCTGTGAACTATTATATACATCTATTTCCTTATTATAAAATTTTATCATTAAAATGAATAATTAACCATAAATAATTATTTATTTGTATAATATATTACTTCATTTATGAATAAATAACATAGTTTACAATTGGTACTTATTTCAGCTTTATAATTAAGGTCAATTTAATGTCTTTCAAGGAATAGGTTCATTTTAACAACAAAAAAAATCTTTTTTTAAAATAAAATCTTCAATTTATCACTATGAGAACAAAAATTTGTATCCTATTTTCTGTTCGGTCAAAGAAAAAAACAAACAATAAACAGTCTTTCAATCGCTTTATTTTGTGCGTGTGTATGTGTGTGTGTGTGTTTGATAGAATTGATTACATTTACTTATTTTTATTATCAATTCTACGTCATTTCGACTGAATTCATTCAAGGATTTGTTATTTATCATTAAATAATCCAGTTCTGTTCTAATAAACTCATATTTAGTTTATTTAAAACAATCTTGGAAACTATTTTTTTTGTTTTTTTTGGTTTTTCAGTTATTCATTAAATACTTGACCTTAAAACAAACATTGTTGTATTAGCATTATTTTAGGTTTTATGGCTTATTTCAAAGCTCATATTAATAAGAATAATAGTAGAAGATACTTTAGTAGAATTACAATTCCTTCTATGTAGTATAAAATAAAAAGCATTTTATGATGAGACTATACAATAGAAGAATTTATTTAAAGTCTTTAAAAAGAAAGTGATCAGACGTTTGTTTTTGACCTAAATAAATGAGTGAGTATTTGTTTTCTTCGAATATAGATTCATTATGTGTTTTATGCATTCAAATATACGTTTGAGATAAACGATCACAATAAAGAATTTAAAAGAGAAGTATAGTGTCCTTTTTTTCCGGACAATAATGCTGAATCTCGGCTCTTTAAAGATTAATTACAGTTAATTATTGACTATCCTAATCTATGATTAATGCTGTAGTTGAACTGAATAAGTTATCGAGTAATATAATCAGTTTGTGTGCAATTCTACCAACACTATTATTTGAAATGACATTGCGTTAGAACACTTTGTTACTTCGGTATATTTCAGTAATTAGCAGTTATTTAAACCATTTGATTAGGTTAATTAAACGATTCTGATAGTTTGTGGTTAAGATCATGAACTGATTGATGTTAGGTTGCCTCTGAAACCTAGAATCACTGGACTGCTAGTTCATGATCTCAAACAAAAACTTAATAATCTCCACAACCCCTATACTAGTAATTAACATGTACTCACTAGTGACTAGCTTCGTGATGGGACTCTCGTAGTTCTAGTGAGAAGCCGTGACCAGTGGAGCTAATCCATGTTGGATAGAGACAGGTATCTACCTCAGTACAATGGAAGATGTCCGCGCAGTTTCGTGGATTGGTTGATGTTAGACACTGACACCATTGGATGCCGGCTCAGTGGTCCAGTAGGTTAAACGTTTGCGCACGAGACCGAAGGCCCTGGGTTCGAATCCCGTGAGCAGGATCTTGGATGCCCGCTGCTCAGGAGTCTCACAATAGGACGAAATGGCCGTCCAGTGCTTCCAGGCTTTCAATGGTGATCTAACATCAATCGGTTCATGATCTCAATCAAAAACTTAATAATCTCCACAACCCCTGTACTAGTGATTCTGATAGTATAAATGCATAAGGTTTATATTTTTCTCAATATAAATATTCAACCTAATCAATCCATTACCTTCTTGAAATGTTCTTATTTACCGAGTAACTTTTATTTATTTTAATTCATAGATAGACTTGCTCATTCTGATCACTTTTTGTTATGTATCCTATTTCACTTTCAAACCTTTATCATTATATAATTCAAGGTAACCGTTTATACTGTTTTGTTTCTTTCATCAGGTAAATAACATTAACAAAATATAATTATACACATTAAATAGAAATGAATAAAAAAAAGTGTATCAACTTACCAATGCACATTTATTTTCTTGATTTATACAATGTGGTTGAGTTAGATCAGGACGTTGTATTAAAAATGATTTATCTTGTTCAGTCAACTATAAATAATTTAGTTCAGTTCAATTTTCATGATCAATTAAGTTTAGTTTTTGTTATTATTATTATCATTTTTATTATTGATTTTGTGATATTTTTTTTAATGATAGTCCCGAAATTGATTGATTTCAATGATTGAATATAATTCAATTTGGTATTGATTAGAATATTGATTGAAATGAGTAAATTATTTTTAAAAAAACATGTTGATGAGATGATCGTTTTTTTTGTTTTGTTTTGGCCAACATCATTGTTGGTGAATGATAATGTTGACAATGAAAAAAATAGTAATGGGAACAAATTGTTTGCATGGTAGACCATTCAGCAAAGAGAAGGAGAAAAGTGAGAAAAAAAAGAATATTTTTTTAAAAAATTATTCGAAATTCAATTTAACTTTAATTGCATTCAAATAAGAAATAAGTGAATTTGATGCTTTTTATTTCACTCACCTTTATTTTTCGATGTTTGAAGTTATTTGAAACGGTATATGATCTATAGCCAAAATAAAGATATTGTCCTCAGAATGAAGTAAGTAGTTTTACCTTATTGTTTTCTTGATTATGTTTTTAGGAATAGACTAATGTTTATAGTTCATATTGGTTAATAGTATCTCTTACATTAGTGTTTGAAATTTTTACTGATTTATAAAAGATTTCAACAGACTAGATGGGATATTCTAATCAATTTTACGCTTTATGAACTTATTGTTTTCCAATGAATTAATTATTTATTTGAACACATAGATATTGGTACAAGGGGGTACCAGTTACATATGCGCCATACAAATCTCATTTGATATGTGTGAGGGCAGTGATAACGCCCGGGTGCTCAAACCGAATCAGGTGGTTTTCTTAGGGTGCCACACCCGGAGCCTTCGACGTGAAGGTCTGATCCACAAGGCAGTGGAGCATCGTAAGAAGATGCAGTTCCATGGTAGCCGGTGACCAAAAATTGATTCATACGCCACTTGTTCCTTCAAGATCCTGAAGCCAGCTCATGTACAGCACTGGTTTGGAATCAGGGTTTTCCAACACCACTAGGTAGACTCTCCATGTCCAGCGACCCGGTTAAGGCGCTGGACATTCGCTTTTCATCCTCTCGATTTCGCAAACAGCACCCACACAAATGAATTTCATTTATGAAGAATAAATCTTGACAATACTGATATACAAATATTGTATAACTAGGAGATCTCATGTGAATGACTTATAAACTACACATTTTAATTCCATGTACATAATCAAGGCTTAAAAGAGCTGGGGATTAAATAGAAAAAAGGTGATAATTAGCTTTCTTGTTGAATAATCACGAAGAAATTTAATTTATATATATCGTACCCTACAAAACATTTGATCTGTTAACGAAACCCGTCTATAAGGCATTGTTTGTCGTCAACCATACATCACACCAAATATTATATTACGTGTTCTGTTTATATATTTAGAAACTTCACAATAAGCACTATTCATACATTGTTATCACATGTATTTCCTAAATAAAATAAATCAACACATTCCACTTAGTATGAGAGCTAATAGTTTGTAAAAAAAATAACAATTCTAACGTATTTTAACAGGCTACCAAGACTGATGAACTGTGATGTTATGCAGATCTATTACATCTGGATATAAGTAATAACTTGGAAACTTATGTAATGGTTAACATATTATCTGGCTTTAAAGTAACGATCAATGATTATATGAATATGTACATATTCTATAAATCCTATCCATGAGTGATAAAACAACGACAAATATAGGAAAATTATTTCAGACACTATATACCATAGTTGTATTTTGTAGTAATATTCTAGCATATCAAAGATCCATTATTACTTCAACAACAAAAATGTGGAATATATCACAAATGTAACAAAAATAAACTCGAATTATTTTAAAGACTGTAGCAACAGGATGTGATAACATTTAATAATTCTGAACTAGATCAGTAAATACTACAACTAAATTAAATGAATCTGAGTGAATTTTCAAAAATAAGTAAATAAATAAATAGTCCTGGCAGGAACTAAATGTCATTTATTCAGAACTATCTATCATGATTATAAATAATTCATTCAACAATTTATTGTATTGTGATTCGATGTATACTTTATTTTTTCTTCATAAATACCAGGTGTAAATCAGATTATTTATTCTCATGTATTTAATAATCTAGTAAAACACATTGTACACTATGATCAATAATTTGATGTTTAATAAATGTTAACGATGGAAACCATTTTAAGCTTATAAACCAGAATTAAGAGATTATAATAAACCTCTTTACAGAAATTGTTATATGGACATTATCAGAAGGGGTTTTGTTGAGATTTTAGTAGTTTCAGTAGTTGAAATCATGAATCAATTGAAGCTAGACCACAATGGAAAACCTGGAAGCACTTGATGGCCTTTTCGTTTAATTGTGAGACTCCTCAGCAGTGCGCATCCACGATCCCCAGATTCGAACTCAGAACCTATCAGTCTCTCGCGTGAGCGCTTAAACATTAGACCACTAAGCCTGCTGGCATCCAACGATATTAATGTCTAACTTCAACCAATCCATGAAATTGTGCTACTGCTGAGGAGTCCCATACTAGGACGAAACGGCCGTCCAGTGCTTCTAGGTTTTTCATGGTGGTCTAGCTTGAGTTGACTCATGGTTTCAAATATTGACATGAACAATAATTAATAAAATGTTTTATTTCTTACTATTCATTATCTATTCAATAAATATTCACTAAAACAGGTACTTGTGATACGGCAATACTCCTTAATAACTTTAGGTTATAATATGATATCGTATCTATAGTTCCAATTAATTAAATAACACCGTTGGATGACGGCCGGCTCAGTGGTTTGAAGGTTAAGCGTTCGCGCACGAGACTGATAGGCCCTGGGTTCATATCCCGCGGGAGGCGGGATTGTGGATGCGCGCTGCAGACGAGTCTCATATTAGGATGAAAAGACCATCCAGTGCTTTCAAGTTTTCCATTATGGTCTAGTTTCAAATGACTCATGAATTCAATTTTAAAATTATTACAATCTCCACAAAACCTTCTTTGATTAAAATTTGGTTTATTTATCACACTGTTATTTTTTTAAATAATATTTCTTAGATGTTTCTTTGGCTTCTACAACATTATTGTTCTATATTTAATCCAACGACTTCTTAGAAAAAAAGTTTTCCATAAATAATACTACAAACACCTGATAATATACAGATAATAGCAAATTAGTCATATATATATATATATACATTACCTGGATCTAAATAGAAGAAAGAAACCAATTAATTACCATAAATGATTATCATAAAATTTTATTTTTGTGTCCTAGAAAAATAACCATCTTTTGTTTTAATGAATTTATACCATGTTTTGGCGGGAAAAAGAAATTAAACTAAAATTATATTACAATAGGAATAATATTAGTTAGGTAATTAAAGTTTTTACAAATGTTTACTAAAAACTAAATAAAAAAAATAATGAGTAATTAAAAATTTCATTTGTATAACAGCTGGAAACAAATGGAACATTATGATTAAAGGACTAGAAATGAGATGAGAATATAAAGTCTAATTATATGCCAGTTTTAGAAAGATTTTTCATGACAAAATTGCATATATATATATATATATGATGAACGTAAGTAAGTTAATTACTATTATCTTTCCGGTCTGCGTAAAGCTCACACAAATAACGATCGTACATTCTTAGTTATTAATAAAGTAATTCTAACTTATACTGATCAAAATCGATGTCGAACTAACCCATTGAAATATATCAGGTCAGAATAAATTAACGTCTCTATAGTATAAACTAGTCTTACCGCTTTACTTCTCAACAACATATATTCATATTTAGTGAACAAAGAACTGAAGTGGTGAAACCAATTTATCATCCAATGCCGAATTACACAGTTCTCTAGTAAAATATGAAAATCATAAATTAACTACATTTTTTGCACATCTACTAGTTGTCTCTTACAAAACTTTTCGTTTCTTCATTCCTGCTTTTATTTTGATTGCATTCAGTTTCCTTCTCTCTTCTCTTCACTTCAATGTTTTCAATCTTCTTCATGAAGACATTCCACTTCTGATCGGTGCTACATACTACTTATATCCACCAACATAATTAACATACAGTATATATAGAGAGAGATTGACTGCAAATGCTGAAATATTCTACGCTGGAAAGGGAATATTTGAGTCCGATTATAAACATATGTCTGAATTAAAAATAACTGTAACATAATTGTACCTTGTTGAGAAACTGTTATATATTGAAATTCTTTTCACTTATTTTGGAAAAAATAAGTCAAGTATATTATACTGGTTATAATTTATTATTGTCTGCTCTGATACTCAGTGCGTAAAGTACAATTATAATCAGTATATGGTTATGGAGATTGTTGAGTTTTAATTGGGACCATAAACCGGTCACTGTTATACCACCAATGTAAAACCTGTAAGTACTGAAAGGCTGTTTCATCCTAGTATGTGACTCCTCAGCAGTGAGCATCCACAATCCCGCATGTGGGATCAAAATATCATTCAGAATTTGTATTTCATTTTATACTTCTAATCTGGCTAACGTACTTGAAATTCAGCACATGATAACTACTAGATCAACAAAATGTGATATATAATTTTACATCAATAGTTATTGACTAAAATTGTTTCATCTTATACTATAGTAAAGCGAGAAAAGAATGAAATTAATCTTACAGAGAAAATTAAAAACTAAAAAAATCAATCAAAGTGAGAAGCTAAGTACTAAAATTTCAATTCGGAAGGATCGGATAAGACTACAAAATAATAATGTCTCAAACTTTGAATATTGAAGTATTTACAACCAGGGTTCTGTGACCGAACAACAAACTTCGCTTTTATACGTGATTTCATATTGAGGTAATGAATTTGGCGCGAAAATCCAAGAACTGTCATCCTAAATCTGATTGGTTTGTCCACAAATTATAGTCTCGCTTTAATCACTTCTTATTGA